CTGTCAAAGCATTGCACACTTACCATCGCTTGCGTATGACCTTTGAGATGGAGGAATTTATTTCCAGACTTGTGATGAATCCAAATATTATGCAATGAAAGACCTCAGCATGTTCTTGACTTCTGGCTTTAAGCTTTTCCACAGTCAGAACATCACTAATGGAATCCACTGAGAAATAAACGGAAGGATACAGTTATACTGTCAACACTTTACAAATAAGGTTCCACAACTACATTAAATAATAAGAAAAATACTTCTAAAGCATTTTTAATCTTATTTAATGTTAATTTATTAAAATCAAAAGATGTATCTGTAAATATTATTTTATGAACCGGAGCTAACATGAAGTAACAATGAATAGTTGTATTTTTATTATCTAATGTTGACTAAGATTATCAACTGCTGTAACAAACTGCTCAATGTTAGTCAATATTTAGTAAAGGAATAGTGCACCCCGAAATTAAAATATGATGAAAATTGACTCAACCCACAGGCCATCCAAAATATTCTTCATTTCGTTTCTTCATTGAAAACGATTTGGAGAAATGTAAACTTTAAACTGTTGCTTCTGGCCAAAATATGAGTCCACAATCTATAATAACACTTTCACCCCTGATGTCCTACTACATCAAAATCCACCAAGATATTTGATTAGAGAACTGTTTTCACATGTAAACTGTATTTGATCTGTGCATATTTCTTTCCTGATTAAGGTGAGATGGTTTTTTACTTTTTTCACTGAAAAAAGCAATTTTATGGACAGACAACTCGTATCATAACCATCGGCAATAGTTTGAAGTTAAAAATGTTGGATTTGTTTCTTACAAACACAGCTTTTCGTGTCACAAGGTTTCTTGTGGATTATTGTGATGTTTTTATCAGCTGTTTAAACTCTCATTCTACCGGTACCCATTCACTACAGAGGATCCACTGATGAGCAAGTGATGTAATGCCAAATTTCTCCAAATCTCTTCTGATGAAGAAACAAACGCATCTACATCTTGGATAGCCTGAGAGTAGGTAAATTTTCATTTTTTGGGTGAACTATTCCTTTAATGCATTAACTAATGTTAATAATGGGACCTTACTGTAAAATGTTGCTGTTTTACTGTGTTATACTGTATGAGCTGCAC